CCGTGGCGCTTTGGCTCCTCATCAGGTGAGGTTCATCCAGTCCTTAGGACAGGTAGCCTTCCTTTGGGCCATTGAAGCTTTAAAATCTGGGTGTGGCCTCCTTCCCCTATGCCTTTTGGGTATGGGAATGGTCAACGCACTATAACCCTGCTGCAGAGGCAAGGTGTTGATTCTTGGTATGGTTTAGCGTGGGGTGCATGGGTGCTGCCTGCCACCTCCCCAGACCATCGGGTATCCTACAGACTCTGCTGCCATGCATGCCTGTGATGCATATGTGTTTTGGTGTGGTTTGAGTCAGTAACAGCAAAAACAACACACAGAAATCCCTTAGAAAGAAGAGTGTTGGTTCAAGGAGGCAGAGAGGAAATTATTCCAAGTGCTAGTTCAGAAGAGGAATGGTTCTTTATTGGCTTGTTTTGCTAAGTCTTTCCTCTATGGTATGCTGCTCTCAGCAGAAATACAGGAGTTGCTGTAGGAACAGTGCATTTTCTTATGAAAATGGTGCATTTTTAATGTGCAATTGCTGCGTTCTGTCAGTCATGGTTGCACAGGTGTTTAGGGCCTTTAAGGGGAGCTGGTGGAGAAGGGGGTGGTACTTTTTCAATACAGTAAGTTAAACTATTGAATACGGAAGTGTGGCAAACTGTTTTCCTCAGTCGAAGTAGTCTTAATGCTAGACTTAAGTTTGTTAAGGACACTTTAAAATTTCTCTTTATTTTGATACATGGAGTTGACATTAATGAAAAATAACCAACTATTTTAGTCATCTCACAGTTTGCAGTTACATAATGAAGTGAGTAAGTGAATTATGTGGCCATTTTCTTTGCTGATTTTAAGAATCAGCTGTTATTTAGCCCTCAGTATCGTTGCCTTCCACTCCACTAAGAAGAATACAGATACCTTACAACTCAAGGTGTTGTAGAAGTTGCCTTCACAAGCCAGTATAAGTTTTTTCCCTGTACATGTTATATAAGTACATTCTAGCCTAGCTGGTTCTTTCTACATAATCACAATTCTGTTTACTAAGCGCACACATTAAAACCCGCAGAGGACATTTTGTCTCAGGTTGATGCCAGGACCTTTTTGTAAATGTGTGTTTGTATGTCTGAGACCTCTGGTGTTACCTATAACAATATCTTGACTGTGTCTGAAAGATGTAGCTCTACACATTACTTTCTCTGTATTTAAAAGGTATAAAATTCCTGGTTTCTTTTGTTATCTGATTTTTGGTTGGGATCTGTGGGGCCTGATTGGTCAAGTGGCATCACATCTGTGTTTGGAGCCAATGTTGGAAACAGCTATTGTGTTTGGTAGACTGGTAAAAATGTTCTGCTAGTGTAGGTGTGTGCATTATTTAGACTTTTTTGAGTCAGTAATGCTATATTTTGCACAGGTGTATTTCAGAAATTGCAGATAGTTGTTGTGTTTGGACGATTTATGTTTTACATGCCTAATTCTTGATTATGTCACAACAGGCTACAATATGGAAGAACAACATAGCTGAAAGATAAATGAGCTGTTACTTGATAGTCGCAGATGGTCTGAATGTCTGTTGGTCCTATATGTTCTCAAATTGCTGGGCATGTCAATAAATCACGTGGACCTGGCAAATTGTGTGAATGTGAAACCACAAAAATGTTATTCTGGACTGGGGAGCTGTAGAGAGAGAGATTTCAATTTCTTCTGAAATTTAAGCATCACTGTTGACTTAAAAAGAAATTTGAGGAGCTGTTTTGGTCAAAATACACTTAACTCACCTGAAATTGCTGTTTAGCAATACCAGGTCATTCTTACTCTGTTTGCAGCTGATCCTTCCAACCTTGTAGACTTAAGGCTATTAACTTTGAAATTATTAATGATGGGCACTGTTTGGCTAGATAGCATGAAAATGGCTATAAGCGAATAATTGTTAAAGCATTTGTAGCCTATTAAAAACATTTCTTTCTTGTGTGGCGTGTAGAATGCATGCAATAGGGGTGATTGCCCGCTGTGTTTCTACTTGTGCACTGTTAGCTGTATGTATATGCAGGCGCTATGTATTTTTGTAGAGATCTACAGGAACAAGGTACTTGAATCCATCTGAATTGCACTTCTTCACAGTTTATATAAAAAAAACCATTTCAAGTAACTGCATTGAACAGTGGATTGCAGTGGGATCTGCCAGAACAGCAATGTTTGCTTGCTTTCTTGTTGCAGTCTGTAAGATGACAACAATAACTTCTTCAAGAGGAAACACAAAAGTGGTCAGTGCCAGAAGAACAGAATTGCATGATGTTTCAGCTATTATTCGCCTCTTCAGCCATTTTACAGAAGAAATTTTTGGAAGTGTTGATGTCATGTACCTTTTGTAAGTAACAGTATTTTAGGGACATTATATTACCTTTCTTGCAGGAAACTTCAACAAATTATGTTACATTAAAAAAGGCAGAGAACATTGTGAGTCTTTTCATGGTGTGGCATAATGACTTTTTAGAAAAAGGGATAGAAAATCTGCTGCCATCTCTTGTCTGTGTCACACATGCATGACTTGGTGTGAATGTGGATCACTGCTGCCAGTATGGTGGACAAGATTTGGCTCTGTACGAGCTTCCTTTTTTTAAAAGTTCAGAATAAATACTTTTGAGTGCTACCTTATGAAACCATCAGATTCCATTGTCTGCTCCATCTAACAGAATCCTTTTGCCTTTTGGAGAATGATAAAAGGGCAGGCAGTAGGGTTTTTATCACTGTGTGACTGTGACTGTTCTGCTTTTCCTGTGTATGTCTAAGTCATTTCCTTCTCTTCAGTTTCCCCTTAGCAAAAGGAATTGGTTTTTTGTTGCTTCTCTTTACTCTACCTTGGAAGACAGCCTCTATCTGCCATAAAATAGGTTTCAATGCACTTCTTTTCATGACCCCAAAATACCTAATATCCTCCATGTTTTCACATCTGGCAATGATGAGCAGTCCTGAGCAGAAATGGGTGGCTGTAGAAGTCTTCTGTCACCATATGTTTATCACTGGAGATAGCAATGAACCTTCTGAGCTTCATCTTTCTGCGCAGTGATGAAAAGCAGATAGACTGTGAAATGCTGATGGGTCACTGAGTTTTTTCCACTTGACTAAATTGCAAATGTCTTCGATACATCTATTTTCCCCCCCCCAAATAGCTGGTAAAAAGAAGCTTGTAAGGAAAAGGCAGCATTTAAGTCTTGCCTATCAATTTTGTAGCAATTGACAGTTTGAAAGATCATGTGAATTGTTATAATGTCAGAATACATTAAATATTTGGACTTGAAGCAATAATGTCAAGTTGGGATGTGGGTAATGAAGTTTTATTGAGGCCTGATCCTGGGAGCACTTTTGACCATGGTTAATTTTGCTATTCTAACAGGCTGTATTAGCAGTGAGTCACTTTTCTTTGTGCGGTTTCTTCAACTTCTGCACAATTAAATTGTTTTCACAGAGAAAAATCAAATCTTGCTTTGACACTCTGCAATGAGAAGAATGAGGTACTAGCTCATGCTGTCTTTTTGGACTATCCAAATTGGAATATTGTTGATCAATCCAAATGGGAATCATTCTTGCATGAAAACTACATTGACAATAAATGTACTGTAAGTAAATGGTATGATTTTAGTTGAGTTTTCATTTAACAATCAGGTATAAAAATATGCTTAGGCATCTCAAATCTATTCTGAGTAGATCTGAGACATTCAGGCTGAAGAAGGTGATAATCAGATTCTTTACTAAACCTTTGGGTGCTCAGAAATGGATGCTTCTGTGCTTTTTCCCCTACAGTAAGGGAAGGGAACTGTAAGGATGGCAGTTGGGGAACACAAGTCCTTTCTTTGCCAGACATAGGCAGAACGCGTCTGATGCATTGTGCTGGCACTGAGAGCAGTGTGAATCATAGCTGTCACCAGTATTTTTCATTCAGAAACCTGTGTGGCTTTGGTGTTAACTAACAGAACGTTTACCTGGAAGGTGGAGTCCTTGCTTTAAGGTACTTCTCATTTTAAGGGAACTGAAATCCTAGTTTTTCACCTTTTGGAATAAAGTTTTGCTATTTTACAGGACTGAATGCAGATTTAATGGCTTCAGAGAAAGAATTAGGGACAGGGAGTGTACCCCTGCTTGAAGAATGGTGACATGACACTGGGTGTCCATGCTGACAGGAGTGTCTTGGTTCTGGAGCAAGCTTGTTTGGTGCTAGTGGGGAGATTGCTGTGCTCTCTTCTGTGTGATGGCAGTTTTCGTACAGGCTCCTCGATCAAGTTGATGAATTACCCTTAGGAGTTATGGACTAGAAATAGGCACTTAGAAGCTCAAGATTCAAATGCTTCCTATCATTCAGTCCACCTAGGAACTAGATGCTATAGTTGTTGAGAAAAGATGGAAATCATTAACTATAAACACTCAAAAGGTAGGCAGCATATGCTAGAATAAGGTATTGGCAGTACTGAAATTATCTCTAGACAGTTTATTCATCAGTTTTTCAATGTTGTTCTGGGTGATGTTAAGCAATGGCTTGCAGAAAAACCGACAAATACAACAGTTGTATTTGAAAATGCTGTGTGCTGTTAAAAGAAACAAAATTATTACAGCCAAAGAAAAAAACCATGTAATTGTCTTGTAATCTGTTTTCTTTGTCACTTGAACAGTACTTTGTGTACAGGCATATTGCAGGCACAACCACTTCATTCACTGTGCAGCTGCAGCTGCTCCTGTTGGGTTATGCAGTGCTGGCAATTCTGCAAGCTCTTCCACAGGCACCCTGCTTGACAATATCTCCTGCAGCAAAGCTGCAGCTGACTTTGGAATGCAGGGCCATACAAAGAGAAAAGACAAAAAAGGAAAAAACCTTGAGCATGTTAGGAATTACTACTCATAAACAGGAGTGAAAAGTACTTTGGAAAATAGACAAGGAACAGAACTCTTCTTTTTCTTGAATGAAGATTATTTTCTAAAATACATATAGAAGGTTCAGTACATGTTTTGTGCTTTTGCACTGACAAAACAACTGAACCTATTCTGAGTTGCAACTAGACGAGATATTGTTAACTGCAGGTTAAATCCATGCAGATGTGCTTTACGAAATCGAGATCTTCTGAAAATAGAATTTCTTAAAAGTCTAGTTGACTTTTGCCTAGAGCACAGAAATTATAAGATATCTTAAAGGTCTAAATTAGGAATTGACTTGTGCAGAATTTAATTAGTGAAGATACTTTACAGGATTGCCTGGTGACAATCACTATTCAGAAACATGCCAAATCTTGCCTCCTGGGCCTCCTTTTTTTTTTTTTTTTTTAATTCTTCTTCCTTTTTCTTTTGCATTGAAAAAAACAAACAAACAAGACTGATTTTTAGAAATGGCTTTTGATGTTTATTCATGACAAAGCCTGTTGTCTTCGTGCTGTTTATATACTGCAACCTCTATTAAAATATTTTTTGCTCTAAAGTTGCTGAAATTTATGGGTGACTCTAGCCGTGACATTTTAGCTGATTATTAAGAAGACCTCGAGTTTTCCCACTTAAATTACTTTTTTGGAAATATTTCATTTACAGGTAGACCTTCATTGACTCAACACTTGAAATCAATATGCAAGAGAAAACAGTTGAATTAATAGCACCTTCCATTTCAGCATAAGGGTTTTCCTTTGCTAGAGTTATTCAGGTTAACTGGAGACATATAGGATGAAAACATCTTTTAGTCTGCCCTGTTTCTGCCTGGATATTTAAATGTGTCTAATGATGTAATCTTAAGACTTAGTAATTTGTCTTACTCCTTTTAAAGAAAACTCTTTTAGGAGCATGAGGAGTATGTCAGCTTTTGTGGGGTTTTTGGTTTTTCTAAACCTAGGAAAAATGTCTTTATCAGATTTAATGTTAATTAAATGTTATAAAAACTTCGTTGTTAATTGTTGTGGTTAAATTAAAATGTTGTTAGTGTGGAATTAATGCTGCTAAATATGAAATGATGTATGTATAGTGTAGTCAAACTATAGTAAGCTTGAGTGTAAATCAAAAATACTTCAGAAACTCAAATCATGCTATAAAAAAAGTTCTTTAATCCCATAACTTTATCCATACATGCTTTGAAGTTACTTATATATGTGAAACTACTAATTTTGAGTGCAGATCATATATACTGGAAATAAATGTATATATTAATACTTGGGTTTACTTAATAAGTATTAGCTGCATAGTGTTTAGATTTTCATTCTTCATTTTGTAGCCTTTGAACACATTGTTTATGCATCTTTTTGTGGCAGAAGAAGAATACGCAGCTGGATGTTCCCAAGAAATTTTTCGGTGAGTTCATACATATCTTTCTGTAGTGAAGCATATTCTCTCTCCTGCCATGATTTGGAGAGGTTATGGAATTTAAAAATGCCTTAAGGTGATCACTGGATCAAAATCAAATATATCTCTAAACTGTTTCAAAAGATAATAAAACACATCCTTGTATTAATCAAATATGCACTGTTGGCTTTGAAACGAGGCTGTTACAGTTACAAGTGTGCTTCCCAAACAGTGTTAAGGTTTAGCTGTATCTTTGCTGTCATTTTCCACAGAAATAGTACTGCAGTGGCAAGGCAGATTGATTTTTTCTTCTTACTAAATGTCCACTTGTAAAAATCAAAGTGCGTGATTGAGCAGAAAACTTAAAAAACTGTAGGTGTTTCTGGAATATACTTGTTCCTGGATAATCTATTGATAGTTTGTTAGCTACAAATTGTATGGTAGGGCTGCAGATGATACAGTAACACTAGCACAATGTATTACTGCATTAGCTCAGTACTCAAATATAACCATTGCTCAGGTTATTTGGTACAGTTTAGACTCTGCTTACATAAACTGAGTGAATAGCACTTGGTGCTGTTGCTGTTGAATTTACAGTTTGTCATGTCAAACCAGGTCAGAGATCTGCCAGCAGAGATCTGGCACCTTTAATTTTTCACCACTGGGGAACTGATATAAAAAGGATTTCCTTTGAAATCTAAGGATTAGGAAATTAAGAGAGAAATAAGGTAGGGGAGAAAAAAACTAGTAAAAAAAATCTCCACATGAATTTAATATGATTTGTCATGAATAAAATGTTTTAATTTTTGAGCCATGTGGATTCATGAAGGAAGATTAGAGACATTAGAGAAAAGACTTTATATATGAAAAGACTAGCTGATGTATCTGGCTGATGGGTGTAATGATGAAGGACTGAATACAGTTATGTTATTTGTCCAGGAGAGCTTTTATCACAGTACCAGAACTGCAGTTTATACTTTTCTTCATACCAGCTGATGAGAATTTAGGTAAGAATTTAATACTATTTTATTCTTAAAATAATGAGAACATATGCACTGTGTTGGTAGAGTTTTTTGTGTGTTGGTTTTTGTTTGTTTGTTTGTTTGTAAATACTGAAAACAGTTATCATTTTCTAAACATGCAGAAAACACAATCTTAAAGTATCCTCTAATGGACATACCTTGTAAAAGAGGTTCATGTGGCTGTATGTTCACTCCAGCAGTCTATCCATTTCCTGCAGTCTTCAAATTTGCCAGAAACAGATAGGACTTCAAACAGGAGTGAAGATCTCGGAAATCAATTCCTGCAAGCTTTGTGAAGATTTCTGGCTGCATAGAGCCAAGAGTTTGAAATCAGTTCTTGTACTTCGAGAGACAATGACTAATAGGGTACTTGGCACGTAGAGACACACACACACACACATATATATATGCACACACATACGTAAATTCATGCATGTCAGCCAGGCATTGTGCCTATACATCAGAACCAGTCACATCAGGTACTTTCTCTTATTTAGCTAAGTGAGTACAAGATGTGGAGAGGACACTTTGGCAAGGTTTAGAAGGGATGCTAGAGACATGGAGGGAAACTAGGATTATTTCTTGTAGAGCAGAGGTACAAAGATGGAGCAGGCGGATCTCAATCAGAGAACAGCACTGACTTGGAATTTCAGTCTTGAATTCAGAATAATAAACCAAGCATCTAAAAACCTCTGTAGTGGTGTGTCAGCTACAGAAAACAGTACCTCAATAATGGCTTTTGTCAAACCTACCCTAGCAACAAATGTCAGCTTTCCTTCAGCTTAATGAATCCTGACAAAGACTCTCCAGTGGCATATAGCATGGGTTATAAGACTAGTATTTCTATAGGGATTTGATCCTATCAACTTCTGATTGCTTTGAGGCACTGGATTAATTAGCAAATTAATTAAACAATTAACAAAATAATCTAGTAACAATGCCTTCACATGTTTATACTACTGTCATTTCAGCTTCATTGCTTAACTTAAAAGACTTAGAGCATTATGCCATCTGCGGTTTAAGTTCAAAACTCCATTTTCAGCAGTTTTACTGATAATGTAAAAGCTTACATAATAAAGTTTCTCTGTTTCTTGTGACAAATTTTTGTCATTCACAGAGCCAGACGTAGGAAGTGTCTTCAAAAGGATGATGACTGCTCCAGGTTCAGTAGTGGATACACAGTTTACCTTGCTTGTGTGCCCAAGGCATTTGTATCACCCTCAGCTGTATGTTCGCCAAGCAAGGTAATGCAGTTTCTCCCTTCTAGGAACTGATCTGTCTGGGTTAATGTGAAGAATTTTCTTTCTTGGTTTACAGCATCAGTATCTTTGTTAAACTGATAATCAAGTAGTTCTATAATTACACTGTTTTTATTCTCCTTCATCACAAGATCAATTGTATTTTTTGTAAAATTAGATTGCTATCTAGAAAGGATAAAATTTTTGTTGGGGATACTTAGTCTGTGAATCTGCTGGCTGAATTGCATTGCTGCATGTTTTAGTGAGTGCTTGGTCTCTTGGAGCATCTTCCAACTTGCTTTTAATTTTCTCTTGTTATGTCATATTCTGACCAGTTGAGTAAACTCTGAATAGGAAGGCCTGTTATCTAAAAGAATTAAATATTAGCAGATAACCTTTAGTTCCAGTAGTCCTTTAGACATGGAGAGTGATCCTCTTTCACCTTATGTAAAGTTTTTCTGTGCATAAGCACTTCTGTTTGCTCTCGCCTCCTCAGTGTTGCTGAGAGTTTCCTTCCATCATATAATCTGTTCTAGTGGATGCAATTTGGAGCAAAGACTTTATGATATGCTCACACAGTGTGCCTTTAACACAGCTTTGCTTTTCTTTTAGGATTCAAGTTACAAATGGCATTTGAAAAATTAGACTCTGAATGATTTTTTTAATTTCCTATTTGCTCAGCTACCTGCAGTGTACACCAGGCAGAGATGCAGGTCTCTCTCCCAGCCTTACCTATTGAAGTTTGCCTGCATATTGACTATTACCACTCCATTTTTTCTTGCCATTTGAATTCTGCTGCCTACGCTAAATCAGAGCATTCTGTGCTTGTGCCAGCATTGTGTACAGTAAATGAGAAGTGCAAGGTTTTGTGTTTTCCTGTGTAAATTGCTGGATCATACATGCTGTCATTTCTGTGTAGATGCTTCTCTGTAGTCTGGTTGAAATGTAACTAGTATCTGCTGCATTTTGGCTCATTTGTTTTCCTCTTCACAGTGGGAAGAGTGGGTGTAGGGTAATGTTTTATGAGGTAATAATGTTGTTTGATTCTGATTCACTCTGGAATTGCTTTTGTTCATTCTAAACATGTGTTGCTGTGTGGTTATGTAGCAGGATTACAATAAAATTCGGATTTCTGGTTCTTATAGTGGAAACTGGAGTTTAGGGACCAGCACATCCTTGGGACACTGTATCATATGATACTGATGTGTGTGTGGGTCTGTATGCAGCAGTGCTAATGCAGCATTAGGCATTTCTGCCTGGTAAATCCACGCCTGTTTGTTTATGGGTCAATTCATGCTGACATCTCGGACTGGATTCTGACAGAAGCCTGTCTCTCTGAGAGGTGTTTTATATATACTTAATTTTACCAAATAGGCCTGAAACAAATTTACAGGTTGTGCTCTTTATCCTATAGGTTTAGTCAATGTTTGCAATATCCTGTCACTTGACTTCTGAGCATTTTAAGAAAAAGGACTGAGGCCTGACCTTGACCACTCCACACCATCCTGCTATAGGTCTGGATATTTCAACAAGTTACAAAGTTGTCTGCACTTGATCTACATTTTTTAGGCTTTTTATGTGTATTTCCTTTGAGGTGTTTACTGTCTGTCAGTATGTGAATGAACCTTTATACTGAGAAGTTATCAGTAGGTGAATTAATTCCTGAAGACTTAAAGTTCTTCCCTGTGTCGTGATTCCAACTATTATGTTTGTTTTTTATTTAATTTAAATCATATTCTTTCTTTTGATGGCCACTGGATATTGTCAGTAGAAATATTTTTGACACAACTGGAAATGTCACATAGGCCAATATTCCACAGAAGAAATACCATCTTGCCTGAGATTTCTCTGGTTTATTATAAATAATAAAAATTATTTACTTTAGTTTGCTTGGTTTTTTCTTTGTTATTAGAGAACTAAGCAGGAAGCTGGTTTTTGTTTGTTTCTTTTTTGTTTGTTTTGGTTTTGTTGTTTTGTTTTATTTTTCTCTTAAATTACACAGTATCTGATGATTTATCTGATGATATTCATACTTAATATTGTCTATCAGTAGATTCTCTGAGTAAGCTAAATTATGTTTGCAGGAGATGCTCTGCCTTTCCTTTCCCTCTGTATTCACCTTTGTACTTCACTGGCATCCATAGTAACGTTCAGAAGGAGCCCTTCTGAGACTTATCTATGAAAGTTGTCCCCAGCCACCTGCCTAGCAACATGTTCTGGGTCAATGATAGGAGATTAGGGTAATCTGTTCCCTCTTCTCTTGCTTATGGGAGGGCGCTGGGGGGAAGAAGCTGTAAACTGATACTTTGTTTAACCATTAATTTTGAAGTTATTCTCCATCTGACCTTTATAATGTGAAATAAATCTGCACTGTGCCAGAACACAGTCCACTAAGCTTTTATATTTAATTTTCTTGCTGATATCTCATAATTAGATCCTGTCATCCTTGGGTTTGTACCATTTTTATATTAACAATCTATTGTGCTTTGTTGTTTTTTCTTTTAAAGACTATGGTGCTCATAGAGGATTGCAGAAATCAGAAACAGTTCTGTTCCTACATGTTATAATGTGCAGGGAGATGAGTGGGCTCGTGTGAAGCCCCACTGACTGTCCCTAGGTCAGCCTCTGTACCGCGCACCGGCAGAATTGCTGTCCGTGTCTCGATGCGTGGCCTTGTGTCATGATGTGTTTCACAGACCAGAACGCTGTAAGGGACTTGGAGCAGTCAGCAAAACATCCAGTTTGGGGATGGTGCGTGTATATTATCTACCTCAGTCAAACATCAGGCTTCAATTAGAGTACAGTCTCATTCCTTTACTCCTAAATTAGTTTGGTTTGTTTGAGGTTTCATAATGCATTATCAGATTTGCTATGCTAATTAATTGTCTTGAAGTAGTGAAGTACTGATAATAGAAAACCTTACCGTCTTATTTCCCTTAAGATGCTGCCTGTGAAGAAGAGGAAGACTAATATTTTGGTTTGAGATATAAAGAATGTGAAGTACTATAAATTTTTACAGGGTTTTGTTGTTCTTGGAACTTCATTTTAGTTGCATCTTTTGAATTAATTCTACAGACAAGTAATTGATGGTGTGTTGTTTTTTCCATATATTTTTTCCTTTTGGTAATAATTTATTGCAAGGAAGATTCTCCCTTAAACAGTGAAAAAGAATGAAAAGGTGTGGCGCTTGGCAACTTGTCCTCTCTGGCAGCCATTTTTGGTTTTGAGTGGGCAGTCACGATATTCATCTCTACTGGTTTCTCAAGCTGGCTTTCTTAACTTAAAACGTGTATGAAATAATCTGGTGACTGGCCTTCAGGAGAATAATTAAATTATTTAAAACTCCTGGTGGATCGAGTAGTACTGTGACTTGGGACATCCTGAAGGTGACAAGTTAAGCATTTATTCACCCTGCTAAGGTGGCCATTAGGAAGGCACATGCAGGGGACACTCACCACGGGGTGCAGCGGCTCCATTGCCACTCATCTCGCTAGGCTGGCCTTGCCAGAGACGTTGGGGTGGAGGTGCTCAACACCTGCTCTCCCGGCAGTGCTGAGCAGTGGGAGCAGCACCAGTAAGAGGAGAGCTTTCAGACAGATGGCCCGAGAATAAAAAAGCCGAAACAACGTCAAAATAAAAGTGGTCACCAGCCCCTGGTAGAAAGGGAATCTTACTCAGAAGGTCATGCTCATTCGGGTGTGCAGGAGCCGCAAGAACCATCTACATACCATCTAAGTTGTACTTCAGCTTTATGCTACAGTTGGTCAGTATATGGAAACTCAGATCACATTTGATAAAATTAGTAAGACTTTTTTTTTATGGTGCAGTTGTGTTAACTTTAAGACTTCTTCCAAATCCAGAAATATATAAAGAGTGGAAATGAGAAACAGCTTATTTTGTTTTTTTCTGAATTGCTGCATATGCAGAACTCGGATTTCCAAATTGTAGGCACAAGTATTCAGACAGGAGCACTTGAGCAGCAGGAGCCTGAAGCAAAACGCGAGTTTCTCCTCTCTGCAGCCCGGGCGCGGAATGCGGGGGGCGGCGGCCCTGCCCGGCGGCCGCTGGGGGGCAGCAGAGACCCGCCGGCGGTCCGGACCTGGAGCCTGCGGGCCTGTGCATCCGCCGTTGATCTGCAGACGTTTA